ACCCTTAAAAGTCAAGGGCAGTTTTTTTTTTGATAATCAAAATAAATAGACCGCTAGAATGGATATTCGTGGCACTTAGTTTGATTATCTAATTATTTAAAAAAACGATAAATTTGTTTTTTTTTATAGAGATACAGAATGTGCTTTGGTACCAACATGAATGTGTCACTTTTAATTTATGTTATATAGCACTAAAAAACAATTGAACCAAATATTTGCAATTTTTTAACATTTCTATGCTTTCTATTTCATTATAACATTAATATATAAGTTCAACCAAATGTCGCGAAATCAATCTTATGAAGAACAAAGAAAGCATCTGATGATTTTGCTAGTGATCTCAGTTCATTGACGTAAGCGACTATTTGAATACTCTCTGAAAGTAGAACTAGGACTATCGTGGAGTGTTTAGAATTGGTGTGAAATCAGCAAAGAAAAGCTGGACGTTGTGTTAAGCAATATCACTCAAAAATAAAATAAAATAAATACTGAGTAAACAAAGTTTTTCGAGTAAAAAAATGAGTTTTAAAAAATTATGAATTTTAAAAATTCTGCTGTACCGTCTGATAGTTATATCAAAATAATTTGATTTATAAGATCATATTAGTCTTTGTATATGGAGTTTACAATAGCAATGTTCCTGGGAAAGGAAATTCGGTTTTTAAGGGTTAAAAACTAAAAAGAATCTCCATTGATCAAAAAAGCTGAAAAGAAAAATAACAAGAACATCGACTAATGAAGACTTTTCTATAATTTCGATCGATCTTTATTATTTGTTTCGTTCTCAATTCTAACTCTAGAATAGATGTGTAATGTATAATATGATCTTGTTTGAAACTTTAGCATACTGTAAGATTATTTTCAATTATTATTTGTATAGATGTTCTGATCGTTATACATCGATCGAGTTATTGTTTTTAAAAATTTTTAATTTTTTAGATAATTTGTATGACTTATTATGGCAAATGAAAAAAACAAATGATAGATGCATTTTATTTTATCGATGTAGATGAATATATTACTGATAGTTTATTTATTTATTTTAGAATATTTTTTGTTCTGATTCTTATTTCAAAACATCTATATTACTTGATACAAAAATCGTGCTGAACAGATATTGATGAACTAGTCTTTTTATTATATCTTCCTGCTGAAACTATTCGTTCAGTGTTTTTTTTTTAATGTAAAATGTGTAAAAATTTAATAAAATTATATTTAAAACTAACAATAGTGTATTAAATGACAAAAAAAAATCATGTAGTATAAATAAAATTATTTTTATTTTAATTACCATTTGTTCCTTGTTGGATTGAAAATAATCGATTAAGGACTGGAACTTCTCAACGCTATATTAAAAATAAAAATATACTACATAAGGTTTTTGTTATTTAATAATTTAATTATTTCTCAAGATATATATTTCATTTAACAATAGTATAGATAAATCTCTAGAAGTCAATAGATATTGATAGAATATCTATGTGATTTACATTTAGGCAAAAACAGCCAGAAGATCATTTGATATAATGTGCGCTATACTGATGATATTCTCTGATAGTGTCAAAAAAACTTGTTGATATACCGATAATTAAACAGAAGTAATTTGATACTTAAACGGTCAGTTACTTCTTGAGTCCGATAAGTCCGAAATTTTCGGACCCAAACTTTGATACTCAATAAAATTTTCTAATCGAAATTGAATAGTCACCTAGAAGATGCAAGATATTTTTTTCCAGTTTTTTGTATTTGGTGCCTAGCGCACTCTACGCATTTCTCAGACGACTAGAGTCCATCGGGCCCAATCCGATGGATTCTAAATAATTCTTTTCTGAAGGCCATGCCATTGTGATATACCGATAGTTGTTCGCCGACTGATAATTTACTGCCGGTATACTGTCAGCACTTATGGATACTACGATAGACTATTCTGTTGTACGATTTGTTTACCAACAATCTGTGCAAGTTCTCAATCAGATGGGTTATCGCTATATTTAGACATATATTCGGTATATAATGACATCTATTCCTATGGTCCAACATAACTGATCATTTATCCAATAGCTTTCATTCTCAATATAAATAATATAGAACAAAATTTCTTTATTGATTCAGATAAAACAGTTCGATAGGTACAATTTTTGGAACTAATTCTTCTGTTGTTTTAGATATCCTCAACAAAGTTCATCATGCAAACCATTATTAAATTAGCTCCTCGAACGTAAAATTTCTTTTTCTTCTTGTATTAAAAACTTTCTTTTATTTTGTGATTTCTTTTTTTTATAGTTTAATTCCAGCATTATCTCGTTGTTCAAAACATACATTACCTGATTTACCATATGATTATAATGCATTAGAACCAGTTGTTTCTGGTGAAATTATGAAACTTCATCATCAAAAACATCATGCTACATATGTTAATAATCTTAATATAGCTGAAGAAAAATATAATGAAGCAAAAGGAAAAAGTATATTAATTAAAATAAATGTTTTTTAATTTAAAAATTCTTTTATTTTTGTATCTAGATGATCTTACTACAATGATTCATCTTCAACCAGCTATTCGTTTTAATGGTGGTGGTCATTTAAATCATTCTATATTTTGGGAAATACTTTGTCCAAAACAAGGTGGTAATCAACCAACAGGTACTTTAGCTGAACAAATAAAAAAAGATTTTGGTTCATTTGATAAAATGATGACACAATTATCAAATGCAAGTGTTGGTGTACAAGGTAGTGGTTGGGGTTGGTTAGGTTATAATAAACAAGATCAACGTTTACAAATTGCTACTTGTACAAATCAAGATCCATTACAAGCAACAACAGGTATATAAAATAAAAGATTTATTTTTTTGTTTTTGTTTATATAATTATAAAATATATATTAAGGTCTTGTACCAATATTTGGTATTGATGTTTGGGAACATGCATATTATCTTCAATATAAAAATGTTCGTGCTGATTATGTCAAAGCCATATTTGATATTGCTAATTGGAAAAAATCGGATGAGCTTTTACAAAAAGCTAAACAGTGAACTAAATTTTTGTTCTCTTCTTTTTTTTTTGTTTTTCTTATTTTTTATTTATCCATTAGTCATGCTCTAGAAAACAGAAAATTTACTTAGAATTCGAAGACAAAAAAAAGGAAAACTAGCGACGATTTATAACAATAAATAAAAGAAAGCGAGCAAAAAAAAACCATATGCTTTAATTATTTACATACATATGTGACTATGAAAAAAAAATTATAGGAAAAAAAAACAGATTTTGTTTTTCTTCTTTTTTTTTTTTTTATTTTGGTGTTAATAATCTTCCTTTTTCAATTTCTTCTTCGAGTAATTTCTGTTCTTTACTTCGTTTAAATGTTCGATGAAACCAATTTTGACAGCGTTTTACTATATTTCTATAACCAAGACCATCAGGTACACCACCTTTTCGAGCATCACTTACAGCCCATAATTCATTTGTATGACGACGCTCAATTGCTTGAACAACACATCCACCACGAAAACCTGATATTGTATGGCCTTTTGCTAGTAGACCATGAACAACATTCTAAATTGTGACAAACAAGAAAATTTAAAAACAAAAAGAAATTGTTAATATCATACAACAGGAAAACGTTTTTCTAATTCAACTTCCATTGGAATAAGTTGTTGATGCAATCGAGGCATATCAACAGCATCACGAATACTTTTACCAAGCCATAAATTATAAATAGCTACTTGAGCTACAGAAGAGATTATTCGACTACCACCGGAACCACCAGCTGTAAAAATAACATTACCACCTGAATCTGTTACAAGAATTGGACTCATAGATGACATTGGACGTTTAACTAAAATAGGATTTTATAGATAATTTTGTTCGAAATCAAATTCTTTGAGTTAGTTATTTATTAATAATATAGAAGTAGTATCTTTAGTATATATATCTTTTTAAAAACCAATGTCGTCATAGTATTATACTCATTAGTTATTAAAAGTTTCTGAAACAAACCTTCAATACAAATTGTTCTTGTTCATAGAAGTCAATTCATATGAATGTAAACAGAAAAATGAGAATCATAACTCATTAAATGATTCATAAGATTATGAGATCATGAAATGATACAAAATATTTTTCTATTTTGACTAGATTTTTATTTTAATTATCATCAGAATAATTTTGGTCTATCTATTTCGATTTGTTTTAAATATTTTGAATTTCACTTACAAGGTTTTATAAAATTAGCTGGACTTGGTGCATAACCATAATAATTTGGTAAACCCGGTTGAGAAAAATCATCCATTTGATTATTATAAATAATACCTTAAATTATTTTAAATTCTACATTTTTAGTTTTAGATATAAAACCTAACTCACCAGTATTATGTCCATAAACAACAGCACCGAAACTAGACGCACAAAAAAAAAGATTCTCATTCATGCTTTTTTTTGTTGTTTTGGAAACAAGAAAATGTAAGTTTACTCTGTATTTATTGTACTTGTAGCAGCAACAGCATTTCCTTCAGTATCAATAATTGAACAATGACTAGTTCCATGATCTATAGAAAAATCAAAGTAATACTTTTTCACAATTTCATAAATTTAATACCTGTTCGAGGTTCAAACATTGGTTCATAATAATCAAGTGGTTTAGTTTTGTTTTCATCGATTCGTTGACGAACTTCTGCTGCATATTTAGGAGATAGAATTATTTGAAGTAACTAAATGAAATGTTTTTTATTTTATCGAAAAACAAAAAAGAATTTTTTTTTTTGCTACTTTTTCTATTTCTTGATTCTTCTCTGTTTGTGAATTATATTCATCACCTAATGCTGATCGTTTACCATAAGCAAATTTAAATACTTCATTAAGAATATGATAAAATCGAACTTGTTTTTCATCCGTATCTAATGATTGTGGTGTTAAATCATAACCTAAAATTTTCAATAAGATTTTTATTTTTCTTTCAAACTTTAGCTTTTTTTTTTCTTACTTACCCTCCATTACTTTAAGAATAAGTAAAGTAATTGCAGAACTAGCTGGTGGTGGAACTCCATAAACTGTATAAGTATCACTTAATGAAATACTTACAGCTGGTTTAACTCGAGCATGATAAATTTCTAAATCTTTTCGATCAATAATTCCACCATGTGATTGAATTTCTTCACAAATAGCATCTGTTAATTCACCTTCATAAAATGCGCTTGGTCCTTGTTCAGCGATTATTGAAAGTGTTTGACCAAGACGTGGTCGATAGATTGTATCACCTACTCCATAGACAATATTTGAATCACCTTTAAAAAAAACGCGTCTAGAAAAACAAAAAAAAAAACGAAACCAATCTTTTCATCATGTTTTGTTTTTGCTTTCTTTATTATTTTGAAATTTTTTACTTCATTGATTTATCTTTCCATAGTTGATTTTTATTTTTTAGAATACTAAAAGCAAGAGCTTTTTTTATAGTAAATCCTTCATTACACATATCAATAGCTGGTTTAAATAAAGCTGACCATGGTAGTTTACCATATCTTTTATGAGCTTTCCAAAAACCAGCTATTTCACCTGGAATACCAATTGATAAACCACCTAATTAATATAAAATAATCTATATAATGATCGTCTTGATCTCCTTTTTTTTTTGTTAAATGATTTACCTGATACTGATGATGGTGGTGGATTTCCATCGACAAACATTCTTTGATGAGCTTTTGATGGTGCTGCTTCACGTGCATCAATAGCTACACATTCTTTCTTTGTACTAAACGATTTTAGTAGAGTTTGGAAGAAGAAGAAAAAAAAAAGTTGAGTTCACTTACATATCATAAACACTCATAAGAAATCCACCGCCAATACCACTTGAATGACAATTATGTACACCAACACAAAGAAGAACAGCTATAGCTGCATCAACTGCAGAACCACCCAAATTTAAAATAGATCTTCATATTGAAAAATCATTTAATGAATTTATTTAATAAATAAAAAACAATTTATACCTTCCAACTTTAGATGCTTCTTCTGAATCTGCTGCAACAGCTCCATGTCGACAACTCATAAATGATGATTCACCTTCAAAACCATAATTTTCTACGCCCGGTAAATCAACTTGAAATTCTATATTAATGAATACATAGAATCATTTTTTTTGTTTTCTATATACAGTACTATTCAAAATTATAAAAATAAGGTAAGTTCGATTTTATTTTGTGATACCGTCTATCTAACTATAATCAAATAATGATTTAGATAATCAATAAAGTTCTCTGTCAGATATGCTATATATATATATCAAGACTTCATAGTTGGACTTTGCTGGAAAACTCGACATGGTAGTTTTCAGATACTTGAAGACATTATGTGAGTTTTATATTTAACAATATCATCTGAAAGAACACAAACTTATTAACAAAATGAGGGATCATTGAGTTGCTAATCACCTTTTCGTACAAAGTTACAAAAATTATTTTAAAAAAATGTATTTTTTAGATGCTTGTAACTTTGTAAGCGAAGCTCGTAAAGAATACAACAACTACACATTCTGTTCAGAATTTTGTGTTCTTTCAGATGATACTGTTTAAAAAATGAATTTTTATCATATCTTCTAGAATCAAGAAACGATTTTTCTGAGTGTTTTAGAAAAATTGTTCACATAGTTCAACTATAAAACCTTGGCATATAGTGCATCTGATAGGAAATTTTATTGTCTATAGGAATTATTATTTGACTTATAGTTAGATACACGACATCACATAATAAAATCATAATAACTTTATTCTCATAATTATGAGTAAAACTGTAATTCTCACTTGGCCGAACTACATCAGATGTCGTATTATTGGATGAAAATGGAGCAAAACGATAATGATTATTATAAATTCTAATCTAAATTATATCAAAATATTTTTCTTTATCAAATTTTTCATTTATATTTACCTTTGTCAGGAGTCGTTGAGCAGTCATAGAAACAAGATATTTATGAGCCAATATTTTCGTACACATTAAAAAAATATATCATTATTATCTGAAAGGGTCAAGAAAAGAATTTATAATGAAATATATTCTGAAGGTTAGTAGGTGTGTCTTGTTATCGGTAAATGCTTGTTTTTTGCGTAAATATTGCACGCGATATAAGCATTCGTTTTTTTTCTCAGCACATTTACGACGGTATATCTCTATGTATATATGCAAAGCCATTTGCTATGTGCCTACGCTATCGATGAATAGTGGTTTTTTTCTGTTTCGTATATTATTCTATTTCTCTCTCAATAATGACCTCATCTATGTATCGAGTCACATGTTTTTTTTTTGCCTCTTTTTGTTTCCATTTATGATGTTTTCTTTCATATTGTTGATCCAAAAATAGATTCACAAGAAAATAAAGAATCAAGGGCAATTATTTACAATTTGTTTTGGGTTTTAAAATTAATAATATATAAAAAATACGACATTGTCAGAATCATTAAAATGAATATTTGCTTTGACAAAGCAATGATTTTTATACAACATGAATAATATCATATATGAAAATAAATGTAAAAATACATGATGTCACTTTATTTTTGTTCCTCTAATGTCACTTCCATGAAATGTTTGAAATAATTCATATGATATCATTTTGTTTTAGATTTAATTTTGTTTTTTATCCAATAATGTCCGATCGTTTAACTCAATTACAAGATGTAGTAAATTTATTAGCAGATCATTTATGTAATGCTACAGGTGTTCTTCAAGAAACAGCACGACCTAGTCGATTTGGAAATTTTGAACAAAATTCATCCACAACAAATTCTAATGTTGATAATAATGGTGATGATTATTCACAATTATTTGCAACATTAATAACACGTACAACAAGTGAACTTGTTGCTTTAATTGATTCTTTACCAACAATTCCATCAACTGAAGATGATCTTACAGAACAACATGCACAATTAGAATTATTAGAACAAGAAAATATTGAAGCAGCAGCTAAATTAGAACAAACAACAGAATTAGCAGAATATCTTTTAGAACAAGTCCAAACATGTTTACAATCATTATCTCAAGC